CCAATATAACAATTTTCTGAAAGAAAACTGAAAGCCGGTTCATAAGTGTACGTTAACGTTGAGTTCATAGTTTATAGATAAAATATGATGAAGAATCCAAGCCTGATTAACCGCTTTATTTATAAGAAATCATAAATGATTTTATTGAGCGTGAGGTCAATAAAATCTTTGATTTATTTGTGTTAAAATATTTCTATTAACATAATAAGAATCGAATCAAAATGTGTAAGTTTATCTCAATCCGAATTCATCTTTTAATCCAATTAGCTATCCATATTTGGAAATAGGTCAAGGGATTATTATTGTTCTCTACCATTTGCTTTGGATTGCAAAGATTGTGTTTTTTATTTTTTATAAATTATGATACTACGTAAAAGGTAATGCAGATTGAATTAAAAAAATTTACGATCCAAATGGGCTGGCTGGTTATCTTATTTTATCTAATTAAGGCAATACGATTGTTTTGATTCGGATTCGGATTCGCAAATTGGAATTTTGGATTAAGGTTTGCGATTTGTACTCAAATATGATTTACATGGAGATACGGATTGAATAGTTTGGATTTGAATAAAAAAAAAAAACTAATTGAATTATTGAAACCATTGTAATACGGATTGGATCTCCAATACATGATATCATTATTCCTAAAAAAAAATTATGGCTTGAAATTTGACGGCTGCGTAAAAAATAAATAAGCATCATGATATTATATATATTATATATATTGTAATAATATTTTTTTTTTTTTTTTTTCACATTATTTATTAAACTTTGTTAAAAGAATAACCATGATTGTTCTTTCATAGAGTAATTGACAAATAAATTTGTATTTAATTAATTTAACTTATATAATATACAAACGTTACAATTAATGCGGTGATATACATCAACTGCATTGAAGTAATCCAATTCTTTGTCAATCTTGACTGTTATATTCTTGTGTATCAAACTTTTAAATCCAATCCAATTCAAAAAGGAATACAATCTGGATTAAATAGGAAATCGTCAACCACCAGTAAGATCGTACTCATTCGGATTGAATTGATCAAATTTTGGGCTTCATTAAATTTGTAAAGATTGATGAAAAATAATTTATATCCTATAATATGATCAAACGTAATTGTGAAACAATTTATTTAATAAGTTTTTAACTTTTTGTTTGATTAATGAACTGGGAATTTTGCATGTATGAATACAAGGATAATCGTTGTGTTTATTGCCCTTAAAATAAAAATTGATCGACATTTTTTTTAAATAAATTATAAATATCTTCTAAATAATTTTTTACTGGCAAAGACAAAATTTATCGTAGTAATTATTCAAATACCTTTGTTATTTAAATTTTAAGCATAATTTTTATATATTTGAAATTATGTCTGATAATAATGAAAACATTCTTACGCATAATCAAGAAACTAATATATTAGTCAATATAAATATGAATATGATTGAATTCTCATTCATAGACAGACCATACAAAATATCAAACCATAATAATGATATTGGCACCGGATCTGATACGAATTCCCAAAACTCGGAATTCAGTAGGAACAAATCGAAGTCAAAACGCCTAAGCTCGAAATTCAGTAGGAACACATCGAATTCAGAATTCCTAAGCTCGAGATCCAGTAGGAAGATATCTGTGTCAAAATCTCAAAATCAATTATCCTCGAAACGTTTCCTGAACCTACTTGCATTAATGGATGAAAATTAAAACAAATTAAGAGGATTATTTAATGAAAATATCGGTTTCTCATTCAGTTGTCATATCAATAACGAAATTTGCGGAGAAGTAATTTATATATCACTCAAGATTATGTTGCCAGGATTTTAAACTTCATCCATTGAACCATGTCTGATAGTGAAATATACGGGAAACCCAAAGAGGAATACCGAATTAATTTCTCCAGTAATACAACCGCCTAATGCCAAAGAAATAATTTGACATATACGGACATCCACCTTCGAACGATTTCAAATGGGATTTTTGGTCTGAAAAATGTAGAATTTTATTCTTTGATTTTTGATTACTTATTAAAAAAAAAAGTTATTTGTACATTTGAATGTAGAATTTTATCTGTTCAATTCAGATACTGTATAATAAAAATAAAAAATTTAACAATCCAATTTTGCTATAAAATTTGTGTTGGCTAATCCAGCTAAAAATTACTTTGTTATTTGAAAAGAGAAAACAAGTTCATTATCATGTAATTAATCAGATATTATGTTTTCTGAAATACGGCAATAGGTTGATCCAAAAAAAAAATATCGGTTGAAAGTAAAAAAGAATTTGATTAAAGGAAATTTTTAACCGGTTAAAATTAACTTTGGCCAATACTATAAATTTGGCCGGATGTACCTTTCGGTTTTAAATCCGGTTTCTGACCATTCGGTTTGACCCGGATTTATGTTACGAAAACCGATTTGCGTTTTAAAAACGGCGCTACCGGGTGTCCAAACCGGTTTGGTACTAACAAAAATTTATGCTTAATTTTAAATTTAAGCACCTTAATCAGATTAGTAAAATTTACAAATTTTTTTTTTTTTTTTTTGAAAAGTATAATTTTTTTTTTGGCATAATGAAAGTTTTTTTAAGTGCTGAAGTGCAGATTATTAATCAATGGCTATTGTTTTATTAAGTAAAAATTCCATAAGTTGTTTTTTACGTAAATTTGATAATTAACAAATATAAAACCGGTTGCAAAGATCAGTTTCAACCGGATTTGTAAAAAAACCGATTTGAAAAAGGTCGAACCAGTTGCATCAGTTTTAAATTCAGTTTTCAAAAATGCAACCGGTTCCAAACTCTAGACTGGAGTTAGACAATATTTTTGCAATCCTAAAAATCTAAATTCTGGTCAGAGATTGAATTTTGACCGGAGTTAAATTCATCTATTTTAACCGGCTAAAAAAAAATCATTAACTGATTAACTGTTTTAGCCGGTTAATTAACCGGTTAAAAATTAACTAGTTTCAATCTTAATAAATTCTTTTAATTAATCTTTTTATTTTCTTGCAGAAATTTCAATTGAATTACTAAATATTACGAAAACGTTCTTTCAACTTAGAAATTTTTAGTAGTGTGTAATAAATTACATATACTTTAAAATTAATAAAATTTATATTATATATTTAATGCAACATATTCTTGTATTAATATAAGAATTCAGTTATTGAATTTATTTAGCTGTAAATCTATTTTTATTCATTATTATAAATTTTTTAATTTTAATCCTAGAAAATTTTTAAGTTTACACAAGATGTTTGAACAAATGTCACGTGACTTATATTTGTCACCTGTATCACCTCTCTGCCTTTAGTTTTTACTATTTATTTCAGGGACAGAATTTTTTTGGTGAAAAATTCTTATTCGTTACACATTATCCGTCACATTGTAACACACAAGTAATTTCTTAATTTCTTAAAGCCGGTTAAAGTAATGTTAATGCCAGCTGTATCATGTGACCTGTATTCAAACACCTGTGTATAAATAAAAATTGCTAAATAATTAAATCGATAATATTTGTGGATTTGTTATAAAAACAATGCAGTTCTGATAATATTACTAAAATAATATTATAAGTGATTGATAACTATTATAAATATAATTATTTTTAAAAATAAAAATATTTTATAATTAAAAAAATGTAATAATTTTTTATAACTGAAATCTTATATAAATTTATGAATATATTTTATTACTGTTCAAATAGCAGTAATTGATTTACTCATCAGAATTTACAACTTTAGAAAATTTTTATCATACAGATATTTAAAATTCCTAAATAAATTCTATTATTTATATAGCTTAGAATTTAATTAATGTATTATCAAATTCTAGATAAAAAATCTGTTAAAAAAAAATATTTACAAAAAAAATAAAAGAAACAAATAATTTATTAAAATCAAAGTATTAGTCTGATTTTTCTAATATAATATATTAATTAATTTAATATAATATTATTTTTTAATTGATTTTTATTTTTATGATCTTCATAAAATTAAATTACAAATTATTTTTCTAATATTAATATTTAATATTAATAATATAATCAATTAATATATAAGCTATAGACTAATTTATATATAAAGATAGATACTATAATTAAAAAATAACACAATTAATTTATAACTTGTATCATAATTAAATTTACTTATAATACAATTAAATTGCAACTCAATTAAAATTTAAATATTAAATTTTTCTTTATAATAAGATTTAAAATAATTCAAAATTATAATACAATTACCAAAAAGAATAAAAATTTGTAAATAATTATATAAATTTTCATAAGTAATATAAAAAGCAAATAAATTTTAAAAAAAAAACTAACCTATATTTTAATAATATATTACTATTTATTACTTAATGAATATTTAGTCTATTATTTAATTTAAAGCAATGTAAGATATAAATTTAAATTTAAAAATAACTACTTTTTAATTCTTTATATATAATAGATTTTTATTAAAAGGAAAATATATGCAAGAAAAATTTTAAAGAAAAAATTAACTTATTAGTTTTCATATAATATATTTTTACTGATTAATAAATTATAAGTAATCATAATAATTATATAAAAAAATCTTTAAAGTATTAAATAACTGGAAATAGAAATTGTTATTAAGCCTAAAATAATCTACTAATATTTATTTTCATCTAACTTTTGTGTAATTGCAAAGGCCAATTAGCATTGACTTAATTATTAAACAGATAAATAAACAGACACATATATAACTTTAAACCTGTATATATATAGTTCTTTATTTCATTCTAAACAAATAAAATATTTTATTAATATATTTTAATATTTAAATTTATTGGATTTTTCTTATATTTATTTATAAAATTATATTAAAAATTAATGATTTTTGTTTTTTTATAATAAATATAATTAAATTAAAAATTAAAAAATTTATTAGATAAAATAATTTTATATTTAATATTAATAATTAAATATAAAAAATTTTTCTCTTAAATAAAAAAAATTATAAAGAAATAATTAAAAAATACTTTCAAATTTAATATAATTAATTAATTCAAAAGATTATAAAATATATTATTATATATAAATAAAAAATTAATAAACTAAATATATAGTAAATAATATAATTTTATTATATTTTGATTAATATTAAAAAGGAAATGTAAGGTGAAAGTGATATTTTTTGAAAATTGATAATGTTTTGAAATGTAAAATAAAAATTAATTAAAAATATTTTTATAAGTTTTATGTTAAGATTTCTAATTTTAGTATTAAAATTTTAGCAAATATCAAAATTTTGAAATATTATTTAAAATTAATTATCAAATTTTATAATAATTTAAATGTAATTATACTAGAAAACAGGAACTGTTAAAGTGTTTGAAGTATTATTATAGTTACATAATCACTAATAGAAGTTTGATAAATTTGTGATTATACTATGCAATATAAAATTTACATCATGAGAAATTTGTAATATATTATAAAATAAACTTTATTTTATTTGATTAAAAAAAAATTAAATTAAAGGATTATAGAGATCAACCTTTTTTCTTCTTTTAGTCTTTCATCTAGTCTCTTATAAATTTTGATATGATTGAGTCTTTCAATGAAAATGGTCTAAAAAAAATATTTTAGAGAGCATAAACCGTAAAATTGCTATAATAAAAAACCAGCTATATACTCCTTTTTTCTAATATCAATCACAGCTTTTTGCAAAGTTAAACCCTAGCTTTTATGTATTATGATAGATTACGCAAGGCAAATGGGAACTTACAAACATGAATAAGTTCTATTTTTTCTCTTTCAATTATGTCTAATTAGAGAAATTAAAACAAGCTTTTTATCTTCTATAGTAATAATAGCTGATCCTGAATAATTATCAAATTCTATCAGAATAGTAATAGGAAATGAAGGAGGGGACTGATCTTTTTCAAATATAATTTCATGAACTGTACCTATTGAACTATTTACCAAGCCAACTTCTGTCTATAAGTTAGCTCTAAGCATAACTTTTACGTCTTTTGCTAATAATAACTGAGATGACAATTCTTTTACAACATCCAAATCAGCCTTAATTGCTTTTGTGTCTCTTGTATGTATTGCATTTATTCTAGCAATAGGGCAATTTAAAGACCTTAACTTATTAATATTAAATTCAGTAATATCAGACTTCTGAGGTAAAATATATGTAACATTCAAGTCAGTAGACAATACACTTGATCCATCAGCAAATCGAGTTGCAAGCTTTTTCTAGTCATTTAACGTTGATTTACCATCTCACATACATATTAAAATACCTTTGAACTTATGATATTCATCAGAATCACTTGCTTGACATTAAATTGTATCGAGCTTATAAACTTCACAAAATTATTTATATGCTATAATGCTATTGTTAGATAATAAATCACATTATAAGACCTTTGAGTATATAAGTTCATCAAGCACTGGCAGGAGTTGACCAAAATTACCAACCAAGATAATCAATCAGCTACCAAATACTTGATTTTATTTCTCGAGAAAAGCTTAATGGAGTCTCATATTGATTAAAGCTAGTATATGATAATCTACATACTTTTTTCATCAATAATTATATATTTTATATCATTTAACTTTTTTTGCAAATTTTTTAGACGTTCTCCACTTAAATCAAGATTTTTTCCTGATATTGGAATAAAGAGTAATGAGTGAATTATTTTGCTGTGTATGTTGAATACTATCACTTCAGTTAGCGCAATTACAAGAACCAGCGATTGTGTGCTTCAACATCATGAGTTTTTATAATTTTATGCAGGCGTTCATAAATCACATAAATCAAATATGATTTTCCCATTTTTGCAGTACCTATTATAATAAGTCTAAGAGGATTAACATTGACAGGGTCAGTAATTAAGATACTATAGTACAATTCAATTCATTTAAATATTTTCTTTTGGTTATCATTTAATGACTGATAATTTACAACACAATTTGTAGATTTATCAGTATTAATAATGCCTGATTCTTGAGCTTGTTATATAAAGTTAGGTAAATCAGCAATATTAATATCAGGATAATATAGTCTAGTATTACCAGCCCAATCATATTTAAGATTAATTTCTTGTAAATTTAACTTAGTAGAAATATCAATGATCATATCAGGTCTTGAATCTGATAAACGTATCTAATTGGGTCTCATCTGTACTTTTCCTTCCAGTTTTTCATATTCATCATCTGATTCTTCATCACTCAATTTGCTATCTAAGGTATTCATGAGAGGATCAAGTAAGTCAGTCTTATTTTAATTTTTTTATGATGTTGATTATAGAGTTTTGACTAAGGGATAGTATTATTTTCAGTTAACTGAGAAAGGTCATAATGATAGATATGTAAAAGAACCTTGACTTGACAAAATTCTTTTCATTAGAGACTATTAATTTGAGATGAGGGTCGCGGCAAAATGTATACAATATTTTCATTTTTGCATCATTTTCATTGACATTTCTAGTAATTATATTTTAAGTGAAGTTCAAATAGCAAAACATTTTAAGTTCAATGAGACGAGATCAATATTTTGCAAGGATAACTGTACTATTTGACTAATTTCACTATTGACTAAAAAATTATCTTCATAATTGTTTCCTATACCACTAATCTATTAATGAGTTTGTTTATTAAGGTTCAAAGTGACAAATCAGTAATTAAAATGATATAAGAGAATACTGAGAAGTAGATGACATATTTCTGTACTGTAAAGTCACGTTCAGCAATAGTATAGAGTAACAGACTTTGAAAAACAGACAGAAATGAAGTATCTGAATTGCTATTACTAAGAGTCCTATTCAATATTTCTGAAAATCTCATAGATTTCAGTTCTACTTTACTCGCATATTTAGACATATATTGTAAAGCTGTTTTCATACTGAGAATCAGTTTTAAGCTAATATTCGCATGCTATCCTTAAAGTTATAACTGATCATGAGGATTAACATACGAATTATTTCTTGCCGTTATTAACTCAAAATGTTCTTTATTATCATATAAATATGTATCTTTTGTGACCTCTTTTGAAAAACTAAACCTGTAATTTGATTGATCAGCATGATTCAGACATATATAATACAAAGAATTACATCTAATATACCATTGCAGTTTGTTAATTAGCTTAATGTAATCTTGTTAGTCATCAAAATTTTGTCAGATCATTTTTAACAGAAATGCTTATCAGGTATGGGCATATTAATACCAGAATTGATGATAGTAACTAATAAGTCTAGATATTGTAATATTTCATTCATCAAATTTTTGTCATCTTTCATTCTTTTCCAATCAATATGAGAAGCATCCTTTCTTTTCTGATATTATATACATGAGAACTGCTACAGTGCTACTACTCATATCAGAATTACTAATCCTTAAGATTTTATTTTAGAAATAACACTTTTTCCAAAAATAATTTAAACCATTTTTCAAAAAACTATGTGATAATATAAGGAGTATCGATCAAATTTTGCCACTGTTCTGATATTGAACTTATATCATGCAGTATAAGCTTATGCAGTTCTAGCTAATGTAAGTTAGCAGCACTGGATGTAAAAATATCAATTTTTGAGATCCTAGTTGTCTGATTATGTCAGCTAATTCATATCTTCTTCTTATCCAAAATTATCAATTTCTACATAGGGCTTTGTTAAATTATATAACCCTGTTTACCATATGATTATCCTTTTCTACTATCTCTTGAATTTCTTCAACGGTATACTGTTTACCATCTAATACTTGATTCATATATACCTTACTTTCCTGCAGAACTCTCTAACACATCTGTAAATTTAATATAAAGTAACGCTAGCGATAATGAGCAATCTCCTATTCTTATACTTAACAAGTAAGAAAAGTATTCTGCATGCTTAACTTCTCTGATGTGATCTGATCGAAGGTTAGCACTACCTGTGAAATACAAAGTTAAAAAGACACATACAATGTACTCAGGAGTTTGAAATTCGTTAATGAGATTTCCATCTATTTTTGGCTACATAATAGGACTATTATTATTTTACAATCTATTAAGAGTATTGGCAATAACGCATTCTTTATTAGGTGAAAGAAGAATTGCTAGAACAAACTCTCAGCTTATTAAATTTTTAGTATCTTTATTGTCATTTTCAAAGTTATCACCAGTATTATCAATTTGAGAAAGGTTATCTTTATTGGACTATTTTCAAGTAATAATTGCAATAATACTTCATTGATAATAACATCTCTATAATAATTATTATTATCTTTTAATTAGCAAAGCATGCATAAAACTTTAGATTGATGAATGATAAAATCTCTAAACGCTTCTATTTATAGATTTACGTCACATAATAAGTATGTTAAGTGATGATGAATTTTGAGAAAGACATGTAGTGAATTCTACGTTCTCTATAAAGTTGATAATATTTTATAGTATGCATACTGTCTATCATGAAAGTAATATACCAAAACTATTAAAAAAATTTGAGCTATTAACATCTCTTCTATCTTCGTAAGGTCTTATAACTCTTCTGAAACTTCATCAGGATTCATGTTATTTGCTACAGAAAATTTTTTCACTAGATTATTAATATCGATCTTATCATAATAGCAATGATAACACTCTTTTTTTATAAGTTCGATAGATAGAAATCTTTCATTACATATAGGATAAAACCTATTTGAGAGATTATTAATATTTATGCAAAAATCTTGTAAGAGTTTTCAGTCTAATTCAAAAAGGTGACTCTTATTAATAAGTTGAGTATATGATTTATCCTGTTGTAGATTAAAACATTCATCAATATTTCTTAAAACTTAGGATTTTGTTTTTTTTATGGTAATGTTCACGATTCTTTTTAAGTCATAATTCACACTATTTTGCAATTTTGACTGCTCTTTTTAACTGTTTATTCTCTTTATCCTGAGCCTATCTATTTTCACGTTGCTTAACATTTTCATCAGCTCTGTTTTTTCATTTTTGTAATGTATTATAAAATGGTTGGGAATCCATTTGCAATTACAATTTTTATAAGCAATTAATATCAACAAAATCAACAACACAATGATCAAAATTTTCAGTTATTTATAATATTACAAAGAAATTACATTGCAAAATCAATTATTTATTATTTTATATTTTAATTTATTTCAATTAAAAACAATGTATAATACAAAATAAAAAGAATATAAAAGTTTTAAATTTCTTTTATAAATGTTAAAAAGTTATTAATATTTTTTAAAATGCTGTAAAATAAATACAGATCAGGACATAAACAAAAATCATTATAAATAAAGCAATATATTATATATAAAACTAAGATTCTATTGAATAATAATGTGTGCAAACAGATAATACATGCATGATATGGAGTAGAATAAAAGTGTCCTATGTATACGTTTTGGACAATTAATAAATTAAAGTTAATACTCAAGTTTACAACTATTAAAATGAGACTTTTGCAATAGAAAGGGGAAACAGTTAAAAGATAAATAATGAATTAATGCTATAACTTTATCTAAAAATCATATTTGGCATATAAAAAGTAAAATTGAATTTTTTCAGCAGTTTTCCTCTTTCTATTGCAAAGGTTCTATATCAAATTATATATTCTTAATATCCTATTTTAAAAAGTAATGATAGGAATGATTACAGTAAATTTGTTGATAATATAATTTTTAGCATATAAACAATTTTAAAACCATAGGATTTTCAAAATAATTAAAAACATAAATAATAGGATAATCATAACATAATCATTGTTTTAAAATTTTAACTTATAGTAAATTAATTATATGGGACGGCTCATGTCATTTACTATGGATTTTAATAGCAAATGACCCATAATACTATCTTTAAGTTATTTCTGGTCAAAGTTACGTCGAATTAATTGGAGTCATTTAACTTAATAAATATCTTAAAAGTTATTTGAATTAGAGATTTTAACGCTTTTTTTGTTCAAGGCTCTTGGAACCTATTTTTACCAAGAATTTCTTCGACTTCTGATTTACACCAAAGTTTCTAAATGAAAAAAATTATTAAAATGAAATTTCGTTTTTTAACCAAAGTTTTTGCTTAAAGAAAAATAATTTTACATAATAATTCTGTTTAATATTTTTCCACTTTATCGCGCATTGCTCAACAGAATAATTGTAGTTATTTTCGCGCAGCTTAACGGAAGCACCGTCCCAGAGAGTCTCTCTAACTCTATTAGCTGTTATACCACGACTTTCTAGTAGTAAAACGTTTACATTATTTTCTTTCAGATAAGCGAGCAAGATTTTAGTTGACTCTTTTTCCCATCTACATGGAGGTGCCCCTTTAGAATCATTATAACTTTTATCGTTTTCAATTTCGTCAACAGGTTCAGGAATATCTGATTCTAATATAAAAAGTTTAATAACGAAAAGTTTAATAACAAGACAGACGCATTTAGTCTGTTAATTACGCGCTTTTATTTTGAAATGTAAGTTTAGTCAAAGTTACTTAAAGATTACCTTGATTAATATCATATTCATTCTCATTTTGAGAGTTAGATAACCAATCATTCTCTTTTTGAATATGAAAGCCAATAACTTCATTTTGGTTGTTCTGATCTGGAAGTTTTTCTTCACAAGTAATTTGAAACATGTCATGTATATAAGAGAACGAATGGATTGACGGGGATGAAATAAATATTTGATGTATATCCTCTAAGTTAGGAACAATTCCAATAATACTGAATAACGCAGTAAGGATAGTTGATAAAATGTTGTATAAGATACTCTGATAATTGTTGGGATCAAGTTTAATATTAATTTGTATTTGAAGCAGAATTAAACTCATCATCTTGGAATACGTGGCGAAAAATTTGAAAGTAACTTTTAACATTTTCACTTATATTTATATACTATTCTTGAACTAAAAATAACTGTTATTTGGCAATTTTGAAATAATAATCAAAATTAGCAACGTTTGATTATTAAAGAAAAAATGTAACGATCGATCAAATCCAAAAGTGGTAATGGTGACACTTTCATTCATTAAAGGAAGGTCTCCAAACAATGGGAGAAATGATTCCGTTACTTTTAACGGACATTTAAAATAATCTAAAAATATAATTATGGCAATAAATTTTCTTTTTTTATCAATTATAAAATGACCTGATAATATAAAAATGACCAAAGTTTATTATAGAACGTAAAATCGTCTTGTGTACACGGTAATGAAATAGAATAGATTTTAGACATAATGGTTATATGAAGTTTCTTTTCTCCCTTCGCTGGCAGAATTTTTATTTTTCTAGTTTTTCTAGATAATGAATTCCCAAATAATCCTTCAATCAATATTGTATTGTGTAATAATCAAAGTCTTTATAATTTTTTGACCATCAATTGTATTAATTCTTCTATAGGTGATGATATTATTATCAGTTTTATCAACTATGTATATTCTGTTACACTGGCTTAATCTCAAAATATCGAACGTTAAAACAGATCGTTCATAATAATATTACTACAAGAATTGTAACGGTGTTTTTATCAGGATGAAATCAATAATGTAAGTTGAGTCATTACGTAAACATAATAACTGTAACAAATTCATGAATTAGAACAATAACTTGATTGATGAATGTATAGGAGCAACACTTTATCCAAATATTTAGAGCTGATTTTTGACCATTAATAAGAATTAAGCATAGCATTTATTAACGCTTAATTGGATTTTACAATAGAAACGACTTTTCAAGAAACTTTTTATTTTTGGATGCTCATAGTTTATCGTTTACGTTTACGTTTATAATGGATTTTATAATTTATAATTTAGCCTTTATAATTAAAAAGAACAAAATACAATTTTTTTTTTTATTTGTCTAACTATAAATGGGTTGATTTCTTGGAAAATCAGGTTTCGGGAATTTTATTGCATTTTTGGTTTTGACGTTATCAGATTAAAATGCATTTTCTCAGAACCTGATTTTCCGAGAAATCTTCCCAAATATGTTTAGGAATTGTAATACCCTATAATAAAATAACAAAATTTTTTTTGGCCTCTGACAATATAAACCTCCATCTCTCGTTTAATTAAGAATTTCTTCGACGTAAGACTTATACTTAAAGTCTTCCCTATTCTAAATAAAAAAATTAAAAAAATACAATTTATTATAAATGAATGAAATTTTGATCAATTTTTTTTTTTATTAAAAGTTTTACCTTATATTGCTTTTTAGCATTCTTCCACTTTATCTCACACTGTTCGGCAGTATATATGTCGCGTAACTCAGCGGAAGCACCGATCCAGAGCGGCTTTCTAACTTGGCTAGCCGTAGCACCACGACATTTTAGCTTTGAGACATCTTGTTTATGATCTTTCATGTATAAAAGTAAGGATATAATGGCTTCATCCGTCCATTTACATTTACATGGAAGTGCATTATTTTTCTTCGTTACTTTTGCTATTTCGTAACTTTCATTAGATTGGGAGCTTTCAATTTCGTCAAGAGTAACTTCAAATTCTTCCATAACCGAATCTAATAAAGTAATTATGACGGAACAAGTTTAATATTAACTTATTATGCGCATTTTTATAGATTTTGATTTCAGTGTAAAATTTACTTAAATTTACCTTGATTATTAAAAATTACATTCTCATTTTGAGAGTTATTTAACTGTAAACTGTTAACTGGTTCAACATTTTTTGCGATAATATGCTTAACTAGTTCTTCATTTTGGTTGTAAAGTTTACAAATGACTTTATAAAATTTCCTATTTTGGTAATTGCTTAATTTTTCTTCACAAGTGATTTGAAACAAACCGACATAAAACAATGGTGATAAACTAGGTGCTAGTTGGATATTAAGTAAAATTCCATATTTATTTAATAGTGCATAAAAAGTGATGATCGTTGCTTGAGACAAATCATCAATATCATCAATCATTAATAGTTCTGATAAAATGTTGAAAGTGCCGTCGTACAAAGAAATTTGATAAAGGTTCAAAACTATCATTTGGATTTGAAATTCAAGTAAATACATAGCGAAAAAGAATTTTGAAAAAAATTTAGAAAAAAAATTTGAAAAATTATATTTCATCATTTTATATATTTAATTTTCATAAAATGTAAAATAATATCTTTATTATATTAATCCAAATTAAGTTAAGTATAAAACGTGAATCCAATCCTAATTTCAATCTAATTCGTTTTAAAACACATCATTTTCCTAATTTGGATTGACAATCTGTAAAATGCTAATTTGGATTAAACTATTAAACTTAATGATGTGACGGATCCATAGCTAAAATGAAAGTATAATGAAAATGCGCCTAGTGATTTGTATATGCAATAAATGTATTGTCTTAATTGCTATCTGTTTATTATCTTACGCATATCCTTTTTAATCTTCCCAAACAATGAGTTCTGAAATAATTCGAATTAATCGAATCTGTCCAATAAAAAAAAAAAAATAGTCGCAATTTTACATTTGCCGAAAAAAAATTTGTAATTTTATCATGTCGTAATTATATATTAATTTTTATTTAGCAAATGCTGTATATCCCACAAGATTGCAAAAATCTAATTACTTACAAAATTTACAAAATAAATACTAAAAAGATTAAAGAATTGAGAATTATTCAAACTTCATCTTGTTCAATAATATCATCATCATCGTCTTGATGATAATCATGATGGGTATTTTCATGTACATTATAATGTAGCAATAGATCAAATATCTCTGGAAAAATTTTTTGATGTACATCAGTAGCCCAAAGAAAATCTAAAGTATTAATGCAATCAAAAATCAAATTAAATAAAAGAATCAATAAGATAGTTAAATCATAAAATTACCATTATAAACGCTTACCTAAATGTTCATAATCCAAGACTTCTCTTACAAGAACAGGAGCAGGAATTTGTTTTAATAACATATTCATATCACCTAAACTATCTCTACCACCATAAAATATGGCTATAGGTGTAGTAATTTGCAACGTAGGGAATTTTTGACAAGAGTAACCTAATGAAGTTGAAGTGTAAGAATAAGGTGGCGAATCATTGAACATTTGAAATTTTCTCGAACCAATAATTTGAAACCAGTGCTATGATCGAAAGAGAGAAATAATTAGTCAAGAAAGATTATTTTTTTTTTTAAAAAAAAAAAAAAATTATTTCATGAGACATTTAGATACACTTACAACCAAACTTTTGGTACTTGAATAACTATATAAATGATAATAACCAATAGCCTTTTGTGTTTCACTGATATTTTTACAATTCCAACCAAATAAAAATCTTAGAGCCAAATCGATAATTTTAGTAAAAATAGGTGGTGATAATACATTTTGCCAGAACAATGCCATTGCTAATACCGCTTTACGACCGAAAAATAAATATATTACATTTGGTGATGATTTCATTAACGCATCAACAACTGGATTTCTCAGTCCTTTATCAAGAGATGTGGTTTTAATTATTATTTCATGAAAAAAAAAATTTTACGCATGAAAAGAAATTATTTACCTTTTGGACTTGTCGCTGGGGCCAACGCTATAAATAAGTTTACTTTATTGTTTAAAGTTGGATTAATTGATAGTGCAGCAAAACATTGAGCTGTTCCTTGAGAAAATCCAATATATGCTAGTGAAGGTGCTCCCGTTACTTCCAAGATGTACTGTCGAATAGCTAAATTAAGCTTAAAATAATTTAAAGTCGATCAAGAAATCTATGATCATACTTACATCAATAGTATCTGGTAAATCGTATAAAGCCATTTCATCCATCGAATATTCCCAAAATTGTCTTTCACTTGGATCAAATTTAGTATGCTTCATTGAATACTTATTACCTCTAATATTACCAAACCACACATCGTATCTGAAAAATAAATATAAAAGCATTAAAAATATAAAATTCGTTCATTCAATCAACCTCTTGTTATTTTATTTACCCTGCATCAGCTAATAAACAGGCCAATCTATTTTCATATTCTACATTACAAATCCAAAGCTCACTACAAGTCATCAATCCATGATAAAGTAGTACAACGGGTTTAATGTATTTTTTTTTTTGAGACGATGATTCAGAAGAGTTTGCTTTATTCTTTATCTTTATTTCATTCGGATCCTTTCTAATTGCTGATAATGAAATTCCATTATTCTTAAATATGGTTTCTATACTAGGGTCTTGCTGTTGAGTTGGATTTAATGCAAAAGTGGCAGATGGTTGTTTCCCATGAGGAATTCTTTGAACTCCCAATATATAATTATCTTTTGTTTTCACTATATGTTCTTCAACTGGATAGCCCCAATAATTTGCTAACTCTTGGAAACTTTCCGCATGTTGAAGTATTTTCACTGGTAATGTTCTTTCATCTTTATATATCATCGAAAATAATCTATATTAAATATATCGGTGTAAAGTGAGCAATAAATCTTTTTTTCAAAAAAAAAAAAATTGTTAATTAGAACAACTATACCTTTGACTTTCATCTCTAAAATATTTTACTCCTGCATTAGGTAATAAATAAGTTACAACACGAAGTAATTTTTCAAAAAATAAAAAAACAATAGTGATGATTAATGTCTGATAATCTCTGTAATTTAATCTCCCAATAATTGGCACTTCCATTGTTTTGAACAAGAAATATATTCCTTTAACAAATCTTTTTGAGATTATGAAAAAAAAAAAATTGATTGTCCATTGCACCAAAATTCTACTATTTTATACTTAATTTTCGATATTTCCCGCAGCAAAGATAATCAATCGTATGATTGAGATTTTCTAAATGTTTTTAATCAATAAACTTTAACGTTAATATATATAACTTAT